ATCAGGGCAAAGATCTGACATTGCTTCGTTGGAAAAGTGAACTTGCTTATCAAGTGAAGACATCATTTCATGAAGAGTGACATCAGATTACCACGTGAAGCTTATCTTTAGCATGCATTTGACATTCAGTCTTAACAGTGCACTAGTTAATATACAGCCTAAACAAGGGTGCAGGAAGCGTTGAGAATCCCATCACAGACCTCAATACAGAAAGTGACTGAAACGTTCTGGAATAAAGAGCTGACTGAAGTTCATAGGTTGCCACTTCAACAGGTTTATCAAACGTGTCTTTGCCATGCCATAACCCTGGATGCGAAGGAATTTAACACAGCTTCCAGCTGTTAAATTAAGTTAGGTTCTTCCTCATGGTCATCTGAGAAACCTTCTACATGCCCATGCTGGCACAGGCACACATCATTAAAGGCAACAATAAATTTATTGTCTGGTTTTACTCAACACTGAACTAAAAATGTGAGGCAACAGAATTACCAGCCTGACAGCAAATTCACAAAGAAGGGTCAAACTACACTGCCCAGGAAGTAGAGTTCAGGAATACAAGTATGGGGAAAGTTTTTGTTTGTTTATTTGTCAGGGCAGTGGCCTGCCCTTCATCTCAGAGAGGGAGCAGATAGGTGCTCTAGTTAGGAAAGAACTCTGCCACAAAAGGAGTATAAGACAAGAAATAAGCATAGAAAGGCACATACAGCCGGCTCAAACGAACAAGCCATGGTGCGTTCTGGGAGATGGCAACCCTCCCTCCTCACATACATTACCAAGCCTGCAGCCAATCCAATATGGCAAAGATTCCTTCCAGCCACCAGGTATGACAACACATTCAACACCACACATTTAAAGAACTATTATGCCACTTTAACAATCATGGCTTCCCCCAAAGAATTCTGGGAACTGCAGTTTGTTAAGAGGTGCTGAGCTGCTGTTAGGAGATCCCTATTCCCCTTGCTGAGTTGTAGTTCCCAGAGTGGTTTAACAATCAATCCCTCTTCACGGAGAAGTCTTGGAACTGTAGCTGTGTGAGGAGAATAGGGGTCTCTGAACAACTCTCAGCACCCTTAAAAAAAACTCCAGAGTGGCTGGGGAGACCCGGCCAGATGGGCAGGGTATTAAATCTACGGTGTGAATGTTAGCATATCCACAAGAAAGTGTTCTCTGCACAAAGAAAACGACTTAGCACTTCTTTTTACTACACTCACTCTCAGCTATGTAAATATTTTTAAAATACACACCAAAAATAATGGTTCAGGTTGATTTTATGTGCACCTCATTCGGCTAAGATGCAACAGCAGTTGTTTTATACCATCCAATGGCCCTGTTGGGGCCATTTTAGCAGTAGGATGCATATACACATACACTGGAGATTGCTTCCGTGCAGAAACCATCTATTTAAAATGGAGGAATAGGAGGCACACACAATTTTTTTCTAGTTTAGTGTACAAAAGCAGGATGACGCCAAGAATAAAACCAGTAAGCAAGACGGCACAGCATTATGTTCTACTTTGCCAAGTTTGTCAAGCAGGGAGCTACCGAAAAGGAAGCTGAAAAGAACATAAGGAAACAAAACTCCCGATCTATACGCAGTTCCATTTGCTTTCCATTTATTTGCCTTATGCTAAAATTAATAGGATTCTGAAATTCTGGATAGGATTTAACCCTGGTGCTCAGTTGACTGCCTAAGAGACATAAGGGCTTTTCTTATCCCCGTCTATGGTGTAGCAGTGGCAAGTATGGAAGCCATGGAAACTTCTACTGAAAGTCCCACAGCAGCATAACTGATTGTGGGTTAGGCTGGAAGAGACTGATTTTCTGTATGTATTTCAACTGGGGTTCAGGCCCAGTTTTACCACCTTGGTTGGCCTATCAGGAGAGAGGAGGTTGGGAGCATGTTCCTATTGATTTTACCCAATCTTGGCAACTTTCAGTAGCATCAAGCATGGTATCTTTTTGGGAGACTGAAATGGGAGTAGGGAGCATTGTTTTGCAGTGGTTTCCACCACTACTTGGAAGATTGGCTTGGGATACCATATTTTTCGCTCTATAGGATGCACTTTTCCCCCTCCAAAAATGAAGGGGAAATGTGTGTGTGTCCTATGGAGTGAATGCAGGCTCCTTGGCTTCAGCGATAGCAACGGGAAGCCTCCAAAGCGCAGAAGGAGCGTTGCCTCCGCGTTCCGGAGGCTTCGCGTTACTTTCGCTGAAGCCTGGAGAGCGAGAGGGGTCGGTGCGCACCGACCCCCCTCGCTCTCCAGGCTTCAGGCAGCTATCCGCAAGCATTCGGAGCGCAGCAGGAGTTCCCCCCGTGCTCCGAAGGCTTGCGGTTGGCTGCCTGAAGCCCGGGGAGCGCAGCGGGAGTTGGTGCTATAAAAAATAAAGAATTTTTTTTTCTTTATTTCCCCCCTAAAAACTAGGTGCGCCCTATAGTCTGGTGCACCCTATGGAGCGAAAAATACGGTATGTTGTTTGTCCCCATGAAGCCTCTAGTGTGGGGTTCTGCAATTTTATACGCCATGCTGTTTAACACCTATCATGAAATCCACTGAATGGGACCATCCAGAATTTTGGAGTGCGCTTTCATTAGTATGCTGATGACACACAACTCTATTTCTCCTTTGCAACTCAAGCAGGTGTGGCAGTGGATGTGCTGAATCAGTGTCTGGCCTCGATAATGGATTGGATGAAAAACAACAAACTGAAGCTCAATCCAGGTAAGACAGACACTGTCAGCAGGTGGTTCGCCTCTCAGGATGGATGGAATGCATTGTGTTCTGGGTGGGGTTACTCTCCTTAAAGGAGCCCATGTACAGTCTGGGGATACCCTTGGATCCAACACTATAATAGGAACACTATAATAGGAAGCACAAGTGGCCTCAGTGGTACTGAGTGCCTTCAGCCCAGTTACGACCCTATCTGGATAGGGATAGCCTAGCTCTGGTAACCTCCAAATCAGACTACTGCAGTGTGTTGTAGACCGTGAAACTTTTGAAGATGGTTTGAAAGCTACAGCTGGTGAAGAACGTGTAAGATTGATTGTTAGCTGAGGCAAGAAGGTGTGGACATCAGTTTTGGTCTGCCTGCCTTGGCAGCCAATTTGCTTCCAGGCTCAATTCAAAGTGCTCGTTTTGACATTTAAAGCTTTATGCAGCTTGGGACCCCTAAACATTATAAAAAACCACTTTCCCCCTTATGAACCTGCCAAGATCCCGAGTTCATAATCTGAGGCCCTTCTCTGTGTGCCACCTCTGAAGGTGGTCCAGGGGGTCACAATGAGAGGAAAGGTCCTTTCTGTAGTAGCTCCAGCTACAGAATACTCTGCCCAGCAGGGCCCACCTGCAGACAACCATTTCATCGTTTCACTTCTAGGCAAAGATGTTTCTGTTATTCAGCACCAGCAACTGGATGTTTATATTTTGATTATGTTTTAAATATATTTATGCATTTTTACTTTGGTTGTAAATCGCTTTGAGGCTTTTTATAGTGGGGAGAAATATAGACATTTAATAAATGTAAACCTGTGTGGGCTTGAGCAAACTGCTATTCTATTACCCTCAGCTTCCCTCTGCAATGTGGGGATTTACCTTGAAAGGATATTCACTGAGGAAATAGACTCTCTAGGGCTAGGAGCAGCAAGTGTTCCATTCGTGTTAGGTCCTGGCCCTTTGTATTTGCTACTTTTATCCCAAAGTTGCATAAAGAAATGCTTAAATTGCAAATACTGAAAATATGTAACACTGAATCTTCCTTCCCTTGTGAGAAAAGAACCTTTTCTTGGTGTTTTTTATCAGAGCACTTGCTGAAAACAAGTTAGATGTTTTCCATTTTATAAATGGATATACAGTGGTACCTCGGGTTAAGAACTTAATTCATTCTGGAGGTCCGTTCTTAACCTGAAACTGTTCTTAACCTGAGGTACCACTTTAGCTAATGGGGCCTCCCACTGCCGCCGTGCCACCGCCTCGTGATTTCTGTTCTCATCCTGAAGCAAAGTTCTTAACCTGAGGTACTATTTCTGGGTTAGCAGAGTCTGTAACCTGAAGCATCTGTAACCTGAGGTACCACTGTAGAGGTACCAACTCTGAAACTGGGGAGATATTCTATAGGAGAAAGAAGAGAAAATCCCAGGCTGAATTCACATTTCCATCTCTCGCACAATTTTAGATTATCTACCACAAGAGGTAGACAGTTGGTTGTATTTTTTTCCTGCTTCACTTTAATATCTGACCACAAATTTGTTATTTATGTATGTATTTGCACTTTCCTCCCAATAAATATGTATTAAAACATATTATGTGAACTGCTATTCTTTATAAATATTATAAATATAAATATTTTAATCTTTTGTTGGAAGCCACCCAGAATGGCTGGGGAAACCCAGTCAGATGGGAGGGGTAGAAATTATTATCATTATTATTATTACTGTATTATTATTATATTTTGTGGCTTTAAGCTGCGCATCAATTTGGGGTAGAAAAAATGGAGAAGGTGCTTCTCCTAATGTTTTCCTCTAGAGTTTTTAAAGAAATGTCAAGAAGATGGAAAAAGCAGCCAGGAAAATGCTTGTAACAAAATCTGGTACCATGAAGACATTCACACACAAAAAAGGATCATATGCAAGCAGATGGACGAGAGGTTAAACTAAGAATACAAAGAAGGATAGCACCACATATTATGATGGCTGTAGGAAACACTAGTGTCACAGACTATGGTTTTTTTTACAGAAAACATGTAAAGAATAGAAGTAATGTATGCATCTCAACACTACTTTATAAAGACAACCAAAGATGTGGTCCTTAACCCCTTCATTTACTAACTGGCATAGATTTCCATTGTTAGGTTTGACTGCAAAATCTCCCACAAGATTGTCCCAGACCAGTGGGCTTGATGAAACTGCTACAGACACAATGGAGTCGGGTTGGCTAACAATCCAGATTTCCTGTCTCCAGACACAAAAATATCAAAAACAAAGGCATGTTGCACTTTGGCAATACGTCTATCTCAGTTGGGTTAGAGCATGATACTGATAATGCCAAGGTTGCAGGTTCGATCCCTGTATGGGACAGCTGCATATTCCCACATTGCAGGGTTGAACTAGATAATCCTCAGAGTCCCTTCCAATTCTACAATTCTATGATTCTACTGGCTACGCAGCACAGTGTTAGCCTTGTTAGGGTCTAGTGAATCCAAAGACATCATGTCTTCTCATTCATTTTTCTACCTCCTACATACTGTAGCTGTAACAAATAAAAACTGGATCTATTTCCTATCAGCTTCATATCCAACAGATAACTTAATCAGGAGATCTACACAGCACATTTGGCACAGCTACCGTTCGGGCAATTTGATACCAGATTATCAGTGCTGCTTGGCAAGAGGGAAGAGAGATAATTTTCCAGGGGAAAGGTGCACAGGAAATGTGTGCTGCTCACTTCCATGCCAAAACACCTTCAGTTTATCTCAAAGGCTGTTGTTAGAATACTAATAAGAAAATAAAAGAGAAAAGTTTGGATTCAAATTAAGTGTTCATTGCTATTTCTCAAAGTAAATTTTGAAACTGAAAAACAAGAAGGCAAGCAACTGATGCCCATATACATAACACGCAGCTTTGGATTTGGGTGGATTTGTAAGGTCTGGGAAGCCCCCCCCCCCCCTTTTAAGCTTCAAAATCATGGCATGCAGCCACCTACAGCCTAGAATGTCTGCCGCACACTTTGAATACATATACAGCAAGCCCCCTTGGGAGCCAACAGGATTTGATGACATTCAATTGCTCTCCCAGGAAATTGTACTGAAAAAACATGGCTCTACCATAGAAAGGAATCTGCTGGAATGTGGATTCTGAAATGGGCCGTTGATCTAATTTGGTTCATAATCCACCTGGATTGAATCAGATGAGTCTGCTTTGGACTCTGAGTACGGCGGTGTTATGAGAATTATAAGGTCTAAGAGATAAAATAAATATACCAAGCAAACACATACATAAATATATAAACCACATGTCTGAAACAGTACAGGAAAAAGAGTCCTGAAACCATTTTGTCTCTCCCAAATTGACCTCAAATGTTTCTCTGCAAGGAGGTAGGAAATGGGAAAAACCTCCCCATTGTCTCTTTGGTCACAAATCCTGCCCTAAGGGCACATTTCAGATATGAATAGGGTGAGCCTGTGACCTGGACTCAGGAATTAAGTATTTATCTGAAGAAGTGTGCATGCACACGAAAGCTCAGACCAATAACAGTTGGTCTCTAAGGTGCTACTGGAAGGATTTTTTATTTATTTATTTTTGTTTTAAGTATTTATCATCACAAAAGAATAGCCAGGCTGCCCAGGTAAACCCATTAACATCCAGGTAAACCCATCAACAAGTTTCCTGCCAGACAGGATTCTGTTGTAGACCGCCCCTTCTGTGATGTATGTATGATGTATTGAGGAGTGGTCTTGGGCTCCAGGGTGGGCAATTTCAAATGTCTGTATAAGGGCTTGCGCACCATTGTTCTGAGTTCCTCCTGCATGTGGTTGTGAGCACCCTGTTGCAACAGTTAATAAAGATCAGGCCTACCATCTGCCTTGCTTCTCAATATACTCTGGTTGGCCTCTGTTATTTTCTCCTGCCAATAAACATAAGGACTCTATACGAGCTCTTGGTTACCCCATAGGGACAGGGAGCAGTTTTTTTTTCCTTATAACAGTGGCTTCCTCCCCTGTCCATACTTAAGAGAGACGGTGGGAGGATGTAGCTACATTCAGATGAGGCTCATTGAGATGCTATGTGAACATCAAGTTGCACCAGGGCCTACTAGTGCAAACAAGGATGGCCATGTCTCTTACTTTACAGAGGAAAGTCTTCTATTCAGTGAGAGTGGCATTGGCCTTGAACTTGTCCAAGAACAGTTAGCACCTGAATGCAAACTGAGCAGGCACACAGGTCAACTGGTCACAGCCTTCCCTACAAATCAGAGTAACCATCTTAATATTTGCATGCACGCATAAAAATTGGCACATGCAGATTTTATGCAAATATGCACTCTCTCTTCTGTTGGTGATGTATTTTCTTTGGGGATGGTTTTGATGCATAAGTGGCCACCCTATGAACAAGGCCTGCAAACTTCATACATCCAAAGCCTTTTTTGCACAAAACACAGCAAGTTCAGTGCAATGGCCAGAGCAAACAATCATTTCCACACTCCAGCACCCAGGGCTTTTCAGCTCACTGCATTCCGTACAGCCAGGGAAAGGCAGGATTGCATGACTCATAATTTGTGCTCTGAACAATTCCAGAGATCTGAGCCATTTCAAAACTCTTGTATTAATTTCTCTTAATTTGCTTTGACAGGGATTTGTATTGTCATCATCCAAAAGGTAATCACCCGTGCCAGGCTGAAGAAGGGGCGGGGTGGGGGGGAAAAGAGCAAGAAAGAGCATCAAGGGCCAGAGACATGTCAGCTAAAAAAAAAATGCACCACCCAAACAGCCACACAATATAGATCTTTCCCCTTCTTCCTTTTAACAGATCTCTACTTTAATCTCTAAGGCCATGAACATCCAAGAGGAATCAACCTTTTGCTGCTGCTCCTACTGCTGCTGCTGCAGTGCAGTGCTTGCAAAGCAAACTGTTCTCAGCACTGCAGCAAGAAACTGCCCAGAAACAAAGAAATGTACCCTTGTCCTGCCAACCACTCCATGGTGAACTTCTTTGATGCAGCTTTGATGCCACAAGTCATTTTCTACCTGCACCCCCAACTCCCCCATTCCCCTCCGTAGCAAAAAAACCTTTACAGCAAAAGCGCAAATCCCATCAAAAATCGTCACAGTTCCACTAAGTTTTCTACAAAGATTTATTTCCAATGCAGTTCTGTCCTCGGTTTACTCAGTGCTCCAAAAGCAAAGTATTTGAAAATCTTGAACACCTGGAAATCCAAAGGACCTAGCAACATGTGCTCAGCATTGCTCTGGAAATCTGCCCTGTATTTTGGGAACTGAGCTGCTGTTTAATGTCTGCCTCTATCTCTTTGTATTCACAAACAACAATGCTTAGTACAACCTACCCTTAGCACTTAAATACGCATTGTGTTTGGAGGGGTGTATAGAATATCTCTGGACGCGGGTGGCGCTGTGGGTTAAACACCGTTTACCTTCCCGCCGGAGTGGTACCTATTTATCTACTTGCACTTTGACGTGCTTTCAAACTGCTAAGGTTGGCAGGAGCAGGGACCAAGCAACAGGAGCTCACCCTGTCGCGGGGATTCGAACTGCTGACCTTCTGATCGGCAAGCCCTAGGCTCTCTGGTTTAGACCACAGCGCCACCTGCGTTCTATCTGAAACATTAGGGCGATGCTATTATCAGAGGTAGGATATTTGGCTGTCTAAAACTGATAGGCCAGGATCAAACAATGGCTGTATTGTACTCTGCTACAGTCATCTTCCTTCAGTACAGTACTGTTCAAATATTCTTTACAAGCAGAAGTTCTTGTCCCATTTTTTTTCCTCTTAAGGAAATGCATGTTCAGTGAAGGAGGATGACCCAGAACTCTCTTCTGCTCTGTTTCCTAGCAAAGGATCAGTAATGCTCTCTAAGGAAGATATTCTAACAGAATTCTCATGAATAAGCAGTTAACACAAGTATTTATTTTTAAAGAGGGGCTCTTTAAAATTAGTACATATCACTGCTGCTTCCTCCTACTTTCATTCCCCTTCTTATAGCTATTTCATTTTATCAAACCCTTAGCACATGTTAACCCCTATACTTCTTTCATTGAGAAGGAAGCAATTTCTCTTTAAAGAAAAGGTATCAGTGACAAGTGTTTAACTGTATACATATCTTAATCCCCCTTGGAACTCAAGCTGCTACTGTGCCATTGAAATGCTAAACCTGTGTTTCCATTTGCTGAAAAAATACTGTTTGATATTCTCTAAAGACATTTATGTATTTCTGCTAAAATTCTCCTTTTGTTAATCTATGTCTGCTGCTGAAAAGGATCTTGAATGTTACAATATTATGAGCGTTTATAACACTCTCACTTAATGAATCCACGAAAGCTTACTCTACAATAAATATTATTTATGTATCAACAAAGTTCCCTGGGTGGCTTCGGAAGTTATGAATCAATAAAATGCAAAAACACAATCAAATAATATGATACATATATTTAAAAATAGCAATATAACCGACATAAAACCATGAGAACCATAATAAAATCAGAATAAAAACAGCCGAAACCCAGCACAGGGGAAACTGGCGCCAAAGATCTAAAAATGAGAGCACAAGATTCTTTTTTTATCTTTGCGGTACCAGACAAATGTGGTCACACCACTCTGTGATTTACAATTTATGAGTCTTTTTTCCTTTTTTCAGTTGAAAGGGAAGCACAATAACAACAGAAGTGTAACTCAAAAATATTTCACCAAGAAAACAAATAAGATCCAGACAGACATCACATAACTCTCAACAGTCAATACTGATATGGAGATCCAGCAAGAATGGGTTTGGTTAACACTTGCCACATAACCAAGCCATGGTCAAGCAATTTTAGATCCTGTTTGTTTCAGTGGGAGAAACTCATGTCTGTGCTGAACGCTGTTATTGAAATCAATAGGAGTTAACAGTCCTTAACTTTGGATGGAATATGCCCTTGCATCTAACTCAAGTGTTGTTAGGAAAGAATGCAGATGGAATAAGGGAAATGGGAAATATTATTTCCACATCAAAAGGCTTGGCAATTACTTCTGTGGATTACAATGGGCTCTCAGTGGTAATATAAAAGATGAACATCCTTGGGACTGCTCTCACTGGATATGTGTCAGGGGTTTTGTGTTTCTACACAGAAAACTGATTTTTCTGACACTGTAAATTAAAGTAAACATGCTCCAAATTGTTTTGCCTCCTCTGTGGAATAGCGATTAGCTCAAGAATAGTAGAAATTGCTTTTCTGCATTCTTATTTTATTTGGTTTTCTATTCTGCTTGTTTCTTTTGAATTAAATGTTTTTGCTCTAAATTTCATTGTGCTTTGCCTTGGAATTCAAGAGACTCCGTCTGCCCAAGACCCTTGGTAAGAAGGGATC